TTTTTAGAACCGGGGATTGAACTCAGATCCTTGCGTTTGCCAGTCAAGCACTTATCCTACTGAGCCATCTCCCCAGCCCCACTTTTTTTTCTTTAAACAAGGATTATACTAGTTAAGTTACACATAGTATTTGTAAAACTTTCATAAATTAAAAATTATCACTCATGTATTTGTTAATCACTTTCTTACCACACAAATCAGAAATGTCGTTATTGTTAGTATATGATGACTTTTTATATAAGTACATATTCAACCCGGTTATATTCCTATGAGTTAAATAGTATGTCCTCACTTTATTGCTGAAGAAACTCATGCTTAAGCTCATTAACCTGTAAGTTTTCACAGTTAGAAGCAAGAGAAAGAAAACAGAATTGAGTCAAGGTAGCCCCTGAGCTTAGCTCAGCCTGTGCCAAACATTAAGTTCTCTTAGAAGACTTTAAAGTTATACTTAATTTAAAATATAGCTGAAATTTAAACATAGTTCAATAGCAGTACTGAATATTGAAAATATCTAGGCATATTTATATCATCAACAAATATTTCTATAACATTAATTTGCTGTTCTATAAATGTCTATCAACATCAGTAGAAGACTGTATGAGTTGAGCCCTTCATAAATTGAATTCACAAGTGCCATATAACTATATCAATAGCACAAAGAAAGGGACTCCTTTAACCTCTTTTTATCTTTATACCAAAAATATACCAAATATTTGAATTTTAGAGCTTCAGTCTGACCTAAGGGCTACTGTAAAGATGAACAGACCAGCATATAGCATGGAAAGAGGCATTAGTGGTATAGTGGTGAGCATAGCTGCCTTCCATATAGCATGGAAATATAAGCCAAGGGGTTGGACCACCCTTTTTAGAAGAATGCAGATAAATTCTGAAAACTAGCTCCAATTCTGTACTTCACAGGCTTGTGTCTCCAACTTGTTCATCTGTACAAAATGCGATAACCTGTGATAACTCACTGTTTGCTGTATAGGCTAAATAAGACAGAAGTATAAATAAATCCTGCTGGGTTCTATAAAAACCATGCCCAGAATTGTCACTTAATTGCCTTATTCTATCCAGCAATTTGACAGGCCATATATACTGTATCATGTACCTCTTCATTCAGTAATGTTTTTCTTAAATGATATTGTACTCAAACTCAAAACCCTGATAAGAACTCCCTGGTGCTATAGACTGTCAGCACCACTTTACACAACTAAGTGAAAGAAATCTTCAATATTTTGTTTGCTGACCAAATTACTGGTCTTTCACTATTTAGATAAAAGAAGGCTGGCATTCCTATGTAATGTCTTCTAAAGCTAGTTATTGGGAAAATCAGCAGGTAATTCTTGAGATAATAGAAATTTGTTCTGCTAAGTATCTTCATTTTATCCAGTTCTTCCCTCGATTTTGACACACTCTCTGCTCTAGAAATATTCGTGTCACTGGGATTCTCCTTTATAGAGAAAAGAAATATGATGCAAATCACAAGATTAAAGTGTCAGTAACAATCTATTCATTGTAGTAGAAATTTACTGTAAAAGTTGATGATGAACATATGTCCACAAAAAAAAACCTGCCCATGGGTGCTTATAGAGGCTTTATTTGTAATTACCAAGGGCTGGCCTGATAGCTCAGAGGACTAAAGCACCTGCTTAGGCAGAGTGCAGTGCCTGGGGTTTGATCGCCAGCCTGCTGTGCCAGCCCCACCGCCCAGGGCATGCTGAGCTGCCCTAAAATACAGAAAAAATAAACTAAAAAATAAGAAATAAAAAAATAATTGCCAACACTTGAGAGCAATCAGTATGCCCCTCAGTAGATGAATGGGTAAATAAACTGTGGTACATCCATATATTAAACAAAGAAAAAGAAATAAATTAGCAAACGATCAAAAATGGAGAAAATTTAAAATTCATGACTTAGTGAAAGAAATCCACCTGAAAAGACTATACACTGTACGATTTCAACTGTGACATTCTGGCAAAGACAAAGCAGGGAGATACTGGAAAGGTCAGTGTTCCCAGGCCACAGGAGCAGAGAGGAATGACCACAGGTTTAAAAGGCGATACACCAGGGACTCATGATAGTACAACTATTCTACACAATATAATAGTGATGAACACATAAGACACTTTTAACCCATACGATATTTGGCACACAAGATGAATCATGGCATAAATATAGACTTAGAATGATGGCATGCAAGGTAGATTTGTCAAAAGTTGATGGAAATAAAAGGAGGAAATGTGCGAGAGAAAAGGAAGTTGGTGAGACAGAACTCTATGCAGGTGTCATTCAGAGTACCAAACTCTACGGATACTCAAATCTCACATAAATGGCATAGCATTTGTATGTAACCTATGCAATTCCCCCATATCCTTTGTCTCTGGGTTAATTATAGTGTCCAATTCAATATAAATGCTATACTGATATTTGTTATATTGTACTGCTCAGTAAACTATGAGAAGAAAACAAATCCTCAACTATTCAGTGAAGACACATTTTAAAATTATTCCAACTCATTTGACTGAAAGACCAGCAGATACGGAGGGCCTGTACATTACAGTCAAGTTTCCTATAAACCTGAAACTGCTTTAAATAATAAGATCTATACATTTCTTTAAAAAGATGATCATCAAGAAATTATTTAGACAAAACTAAACAAAAAAAGGGGGATACAAATGAACAATCATTTTGTATCTGTATATTCAAAATAGTTAGGATAGATATACAGCTGCTTTCTCTTCAATGAATAGGGAGATTTGTTCTAATAGTGTTTGTGGACAGGATATCATGTCTGCATCTTGTACAATGAATAACCACTAAGACAACAATATGCAATGTATTAATTGTTGAGGCTGTCCTACTGATCGGTTTTGAAGCTGTCTCATTGCTGTGTGTTTCTCAAGAAAATTAATTTTTAAAAATTATATTGTTAAAAAAAAAAAGAAATTATTTCAAATGTCAAAGGATGAGTCCCTCATAGCGCAGTTTGGGGGCAGGAGGTTCAGGAGTTAAGTCACCGTCTTGAGCACATCCCACCAGTCTCTCCAGAGCCTTTGCTGACCTGCTCCTCCAATGCCAGTCTCACCAGTGCTGCCCCTTCTTTCAGTTCTGCAAGCTTGGCCAGTGACTTCAGGAAAAGGAGGAAGAGTGAGCCTGCAGTGGGCCCACCCAGAGGCTTGGGGGATCAGATTGCAAGCAGGACCAGCCCCAGTAGGGGGGAGCTCCCAGGATCAAGCACCACCCTGACAAAGTCATTCATTAGTTCTTCTCCTTCCTCCCCCTCAAGAGCAAAAGGTGAGCACTCATAAATAAACAGCAATTTTACTAGTTTAAGTATGAGAGCTGTTATGGGGTAGTAATAGTGATATGTCCTGGCTTTTAACCACACAGTCTAAATAAAATACAGCTTGAGAATGACAAATTTGTTTCTATTCAGTATGATTCAAGCTAGCTATCCATTTGGGTGGTTCAAAGGACCTAGACCAGCATCTGTGAATGTTTTCTTTGTTTCCATACTCAAATAAATTGTTTTTTAAGTAAGTTCAAAGTATTAAATAATTTGCTATCAGATCAACAAAGGTGACATTTATAAACATTTACAAGTAGCAAAAATTTTACTATAACTAGCAAATGAACCAAATATAAAGACTGAGGAGTATAAGTAGCAATAGGTTTATGGTTTTTTTTTGGGGGGGGGGATTTTTGGTGGGACTGGGGATTGAGCTCAGGTTCTTGCGCTTGCCAGGCAAGCATTTGTTCTACTGAGCTATCTCCCAGGCCCCTATAAGTAGCAATAGGGAAAAGTATTACCTAAAGCATTCATCTTTTAAATTTATGTAATCTATTAGTCATTTATTAAGTATTTAAGCTACATTTTGGCCAATCTCGATGTATGCAGTAGACTGTTCATATTCTACCATTTAACACAGTGGTCAATTCACAGCACTCCACAGAATTATAATTTAGAAATCAACAAGCCACTTTTCCAATGTCCAGGCTCCTCTTTTGAAATGCAGTGAGCTATGTGTTAAAAGAGAATAAGTCACTCACTGTGGTCTCTGAAAGTTCACTTGGTATATACATCCTGGGGATAGGAATTTGTTTGGTTGGTTGGTTGGGTTTTTTGTTTGTTTGTTTGTTTGTTTGTTTGTTTTTGTGGAACCGGGGATTGAACTCAGGCCCTTGCGCTTGCCAGGGAAGCACTTATTCCACATCTTCCCAGACCCGTTCTTGTTTTTTGGTTTTTGGTTTTTGTGGGGGTTTTTTGAGGAATGTTTCTGAGATAGAGCGACAGTACTCAACCAACATCCACACAGACTGAGGGCCACACCAAATTTGGAGCCCACAGTCTCCTCCAATCTCTTGAAGTTGGAACAGAAGAGAGAACAGTTCTAAAATGTGTGAAGAAAATGAGCTCTAACAGAAATTTCTGTGAAAAGAACAGACTTAACTGTACAGACCTGTAAGCATTAAAACTGTTACCACCCAGCAGTTAACGCTAATTAATAGCTGATTTATGTGCACAAGGCAGACTTCATAGAATAACTGGGTTGTGGAGGCAGGAGGCCTGGCCCTTCCAAGCCTAGTAAAGCTATGAAGAGTGGCTGGGTGCTGCAGAGGAAAGGAGGGAAAGCTACCTTTTATGGGTTAATAGAGATGCCTTTATCGGTCTCCACTCATTTACACAAATACCTTAAGATGATAAGTCGTGAAATTCCATTAACTCATTTTTCTTGGTGACTATCCAAAGCCTGAAAATACGCAGATGAATTTAAATATTTGTTTATTATAGGGAGTGTTAAGTCAACTTCCTTTCCCAAATACTACATATCAACTTAATGTGCTTGTCTGCTTTTGAGGAACTCAAGGAACATAAACCATTAGTTGTCAGTAAAGATACGTTCCTTCACTAGGTATTACTTCAAAGAAGAAAACAGCATGCTAGGTGTAATTTGGTCTGTCATTTATTAGATAATTCAACAGAGCAAAAACAAAGACTATTCCCGTAAATGTTCCAAATTGAGGTCAAGTTTAGTTTTCTGTTATTAAATGAAAATCAATGGTTTAATTTTTAAAAAAATAAAAGAAACACGATCCATTTCCTGCTGGTGAAAGTTTACATTATGTCCAGTTATCCTTAAAAGAACAATGTGCTTAATAAAAGGTTGACAGGGAGCAATTAAAGAAGTAAATTAGTTTGTTTAAGAGGCTCTATAGATCTTGTTTTGGTAAAATATTGGCAGTTCGCAGTATTTTGATTTTGCAACTTTGGAAAATACTTTTCCTTACAGCTTCTTCTATTTAAGGCCCAAGAAAAATAACTTCATAAAGTTATGAGAGTGTTAATTAAAAGTAAAACTGTAATTACTTTTTGCCTATGTGTTATTACAAATCAAATGAGCTTCAAATCCTCACCCTATTAAATTGGCTAAGTCTATTAACAGTTTTAGCATGAATTGTTAAGCATTTAAATTACTACTAAGACATGCTGTTAGTCTAAAAGATACAATTGTTTGGTTTCTTGTTGTTTTCCATACCATTGGCAGAAAGGTATAGAGATTCACTCTAAAATCTTCAAGGCTACTTTCATTGAAAAATTGTTATCATCCTTTTAGAATTAGACCTTTTCCCTCTATCACTGAAGCTACATGTATTGATGATCAGTGTCTAGCTTAAGCCACACTAAGTGGCTTCACTTTGCTCTCTGATACTGACATACTCTCCACTTTGTGAACCTTTTAACTTCTCTAAATGTCTCTCTCCTGCCACGCTGCTCTGGATTAAAAGGTGGGGATGATAGCAAAATGTGTCCATCCCTTTGCAGTTACTCAGGGCTGAACGGCACACCCTCCAGTGAGTTAGAGTACTGTAGTCCTTACAGACAGCATCTGGATGTCCCAAGGGACTCACAAAGGGCCATCACTTTCAAGAATGGCTGGCAGATGGCCCGACAAAATGCAGAGATCTGGAGCAGCACTGAAGAATCAGTGTCCCCTAAAATCAAATCCCGTAGCTGCGATGATCTCCTAAATGATGACTGTGACAGCTTTCCTGACCCTCAAACTAAGTCAGAAAGTATGGGCTCCTTGTTATGTGAAGAAGATTCCAAGGACAGCTGCCCCATGACCTGGGGTTCCTCCTACAGCCAGGAAGGCAGAGCTAATGGCAGAGCAAGATTCAGACACAGGGCAGCCCACAACGCCCCAGGATTCCTAAAAATGTACAAGAAAATGCACCGCATCAACCGGAAAGACTTGATGAACTCAGAGGTGATCTGCTCGGTGAAGTCGAGAATCATGCAGTATGAAAAGGAGCAGCAGCACCAGGGCCTGCTGCATGGGTGGAGCCGCTCCTCCACAGAGGACGTGCCCAGGGATGTGGTACCCACACGCATCTCAGAATTTGAAAAGTTGATTCAAAAATCAAAATCCATGCCAAATTTAGGAGACGAAATGTTATCTCCTGTAACCCTTGAGCCACCACAAAATGGCTTGTGTCCCAAGAGGCGATTTTCCATTGAGTCTTTGCTGGAGGAAGAAAGTAGACACCCTGCTCAGGCTCAGCAGAGCTACAAGTCCAAAACCCTGGTGCCCATTCACATTGAAGTCACCAGCGATGAGCAGCCAAGAATGCACATGGAATTTTCTGACAGTGACCAGGATGGAGTTGTGTCTGATCACAGTGACTATATCCATGTGGAAGGGTCGTCCTTTTGCAGTGAAAGTGATTTTGATCACTTTTCATTCACATCCTCAGAAAGTTTCTATGGATCCAGCCATCATCACCACCACCATCACCATCACCACCATCACCGGCACCTCATCAGCTCCTGCAAAGGCCGGTGCCCAGCCTCCTACACTCGATTCACCACAATGTTAAAACATGAAAGAGCTAAGCATGAAAGTGTTGAACAGCCTAGAAGACAAGAAATGGACCCCAGCCTGTCTAAACTTGCATTTCTAGTCAGCCCTGTGCCTTTCCGGAGAAAAAAAAATTTGACTCCCAAAAAACAGACTGAAAAGGCAAGATGTAAAGCATCTGTATATGAGGCTTTGGACTCTGCCCTTAAAGACATCTGTGACCAAATCAAAGCTGAAAAGAGAAGAGGAAGTTTGCCAGACAACAGTATACTGCACCGTCTTATCAGTGAACTGCTGCCAGATATTCCTGAAAGGAACTCATCCCTTAAAGCTCTGAAAAGGAGCCCCACACACCAGCCTTTCCACCCACTGCCTCCCGATGGTGCTATTCATTGTCCACTGTACCAGAATGATTGTGGGAGAATGCCACACAGTGCCTCTTTCCCCGACGTGGACACAGCCAACAACAGCTACTACCACCAAGACCATGACAGTGCCCTGAGTCTCCAAGGTGGATGAGCTTTCCTTTCTTTTTCCATGTGGCTCAGATACCCACCGTCCAGCTCATTCATTTTCCATATCCACATCTCATCCTTCTTGGGCTGTGAGACCACTTGGCATTGTTGTGTGTTTCAGAGCAAGTGCTTGTTGTGCCCACATGTCTTATTACTTCTCACTTGCCCATGTAGTATTTGAGCCCAGTGTATGGCTTAAAGTGATCATTGATTCACAAAAATTTGCTCATTCAAAAGTGAAAGGAAAAGTTTCTTTGCTGGGGTTATAACTGCTACACTGAGATAACTAGTTAATGAATTACCAAATTGAAAGACTATTTCAAGGCAGAAACCATAAGTGACTATGAGTATCCTTAAAGAGAATTTTTTTCACTGTAAAATTAATTAAAATCAATAGGCTAACAAATAGCCTTTTATTTTTCTATCAATCTTAAAATTACATAGCCATTCCCTTAAATCAGTTGATCATATTCTTATAGAAGATATTGTATCAAAACATACAGGTAACAAAACTGAATATGTGGTTAGCAATTGACAAAAAAATAAAGACATTGGATTTATTTAGTAATATTCTCCTTTTAGAGGGCGTGCCCCTTAGCTCAGTTCTTTAAGTGGCTGCTTCAACAAAGCAGTGAGGCACAGGTTGCTGTGGTTCAATCCCCACAACTCAAGCCCGCCAAACCTGCCCTGGAAGCATTCGGAGAAAAAAAAAATTCTCCTTTTAAAGCACACAATTAGGATACAAATTTTTGTGAATATATCTTTAAGCTGTATTTATGAAGATTCCACTTCCATCTCTCAATGTATTCATTTTCTCTCCTTTTCCGTTATTTACTTGTTTTGTTCCTGCTAAAGCAAATCAACATGATAATTTGAATCATATGAGGTTACAAGTGACTCTCAAGTTTGTTTTCATAGATAATTATGAAGTAGTAACCCAAGGACAGATGGCAGTTCAAGTGTAGAGATGTTTATTTGAGATTTACATAATCTACAAACATAGGTGCTTTTAATATTTTTACCCAGTCCTTTTCATTACTTCTTAAAGTGCATCTTTTTACTGTGTGAATTTCAAGAGGGTAGAGTGAACATGCTGGCAGGAACTTGGGTTCCCAAAAGAAACCCTTCTGTATGCCAGATACTACAAAATACATAACTGACGTTATTTAGTTAAAACTGGAGTAGACCAATGTGATGGATAATTATTGCAAGCACTGTTTTACAACTGAGGACACTGAGACATACACAGGACAAGAGACTTGCTCAGGGTCACACAGATAATAAATAATGAGAAAAGAGATTCAAACTCCTCATGTTGCTTAATTGGTAGCATAAAGTATTTCTATATTCAAAAAAGACGTAATTTAAATTTCATGGTAGTATAACTTCAGACTCAGTTATTGATTATCGTTATATAAATGTCCTTCATCTTTGTCTTCACTTATGCTATTCAACATGCTTCAAGTATGTAAAGTAGGGTTCTTAAGGTCAGTTTCAACAGTCAGAAATTTTCACAGAGATGAGGTAGGATGAAAATTTTTTAAATAAATTAGCTATCTCGTCTACTTTTCTAATACTTCACATAATCATGTCTCAATTTTATTTGAAGATAGAGTATAATATTGAAACATAATTTAAGTGGACTTTGAAGTGCATTGCAAGAATATTTTGTTCTTTAGTAAAACATTTGCTTTTCAATTATGTTCAACCCAAGTAAAAAATAGTCTACACTCCAAATGATCTAAAGAAAAAGTAGTCCAAAATGTATCATCATTATCCGAGCCTTACGTTCATGAAAGTATATTAATTTAAAATGAAAAACATACTGCACATAATCCTCTAACATGAATGAAAATAAGTTTTATTTGGAACATTTATGGCCATGTCACCTTCACAGAACAAAGACATTAGAAGTCACAGCTCACAGAGAGACATTTATCCTTTGAGGTTGTGCACTTGCATTTAGTCAGAGTACTCAAAACCTTTAAACAAGGTTTTCTTCTTATACATCAACATTTTTAGTTTCTCAGAGTTGGATAAAATAAATTATATGTCAATGCTTCTTATTTAATATAACTAAATGCATTAAAGATATAAAAAGAACTGATAATTTTTGACCCAGTTGAACTGCCTAACTTCTATATCATAAACTACTGAAATCGTTTTTACTTGTAGTTACACTCCTGCATAGATCATAAAGTATGTAACAGTCAATACAAGATTAGAAGATATTGTTGAGGAAAACTTGCACTCAAAATTTTATAATATAATTAT